TTGTATGAGCCCCTAATGTTTCAAAAAAAAAAAAGAAATAACTTTATATACGAGAGCAATTACATATTGAGAAAAGATCCCATCCCAGTCCAGTTCAAGTCCATAAGTCTGGTATTAGCCCATATGTCTGATACCAATCTAGAAATTCCTCTCCCGACTCATGAAACACATGCAATGACACCGAATGCAGCACGATCACAGGCCAGTGGGTGGAAAGTCTTGGGGATCAAGTGGTGGTATAACCATCTCAGCACTGACAGGGGTCTCCACGCGGCTTCTCCTGCTCAGAGGGCACGGGCTATATCAGCGTGGTGCCATGTGTCTTGTCAGTAGAGTATCTCTCAGGAGTACGCCTGTGTCCCGACTCCAACAAGCTATCTCCTTAGCGCCTCCAAATGAGGTCATCAAGCTGCAATCTGATTGACAGGCTAAACGCCACCCCTTCACTCTTAATCCTCAAATTGACATCAGATTATGTAATTACCACAGTCTCTTAAATAGCACTTGAATAAGGCCCGCACGGTTACAAGGATGTCTTGGGGAAGAGCTTCTACCTAGTGGGGATGCAAAGGCAGGCTGTGCTTGCATAAAAAGCGAAAAGCAAACTCACTGTCATTGCGTCAATTCCAGCTCCCAGCGACCCTACAGGGCACAGGAGAACTACCCCGTGAGTTTCTGAGACTGTCACTCTTATTTATTTATTTAAGGTCATTTTACTGGAGGCCCTTACAGCTCTTATAACAATCCATACACCAATTGTATCAAGCATATTTGTACATATGTTGCCATTATTACTTTCTAAAGATTTACTTTCTATTTGAGCCCTTGGTATCAGCTCTTTTTCCACCCCTCTCCCACCCTCACGACCCCTTGATAAATTATAATTATTTTCATATTTTACACCGACTGCCTTTTCCCTTCCCCCATGATTCCTTCTCCTCTCTCCACCATCTCCCGGAGACTGTAACTCTTTCCGGGAGCAGAAAGCCGTGCCTCTCTCTCTCATGGAGCAGCGAGCTGGTGGTTTTCACACTGCTGACCTTGCAGTGAGCAGCCCAATGTGTAACCCACGACACCAACAGGGCTCCAGGGCTTGGACAGCTAGACAAAAAGCAAGCAGATCTGGGGCGGAGTGAGCGAGGAGTGTAAACCAATAGGTCAGAGAAGTAGCAAAGTCAGTCAGGTGGTGGTGGTAGTGGTGGTGTTAGGTGCTGTCCAGCTGGTCCTGAGTCACAGCAGCTCTGATTACTCCAGGACAAACCCTGCCCGTCCTGGGCCATCCTCATAATTGTTAGGTGTGAGCCCATTGTTGTGGCCCTTGGGTCAATCCAGCTCACCTAGGGTCTTCCTTCTGGGTAGAACTTTGGGTTTTACTCAGCATGAAATAAGCCCTGCAGAGAAATGTTCGCTTGTTGCAGTGGACACAGGGAACAATTGCAGGCTTTAGAGTACAGGAAAACAGAAATGGAACCAATATTTTAGGGGCTTAGTTCAACAGTGAATGTATTGGAGAGCGGGAAACCAGGAAGAGAATTTCAGTAGTTCAAATTAAAGATGATGGCTGATAACCAGAGTGAGCAGTGAGAATGCAAGAACTACATAAAAATAAAAACACTCCAAAGACTGGAATGCATGGGAGACACGTATGCCTGTGATGCTGCTTCAGATACCAGCAGATGTCCCGCCAAAGGCAAATGAAGCCAAAGGAACTGTGCCTGAAGTGGAGCCACTCGTTTCAGCAAATGACTGATTGACCCGTTTTGCTTTTGCAAACCGAAACCATTTTTTTGGTATGTGTATTTGTTTGAAATAGAAACAGAACAACAACAAAAAAATTCAAGCACTTAAAGATCCAAAAAATAACTGCCTCCTTCTGAAAAGTAAACAAATTGATCCTGTCCTTCAGACATTGCAATAGTCAGGGAGAGAAGAGGAGCCCTGGTGTAAGCCTCACCTCTGCATATTAGCAAATTTTATTAGAAATGCTAGCCTCCCTGTTTGGGGTTGAAATTAATAATCAAATGGAGTGTCATATTCTTTGTCTAGAGCTTTTTCACTTTTATTTCCGGTCACTTATTTTGTTGTTTATAGTATCTTCAGCAGGGCGGAATGTTCTGAAAATAACAAGACCTATGAACAGGTAACAGAAGCATTCTGTTACTCTGGAAAAGACAAAAAAGGAATTGCTGATGTCAATTTGTATGTGTGTAGTATCAAATAACCATAGGTAATTGATCATCTCTAACAATTGCTAATAGCACTAACTGGAGTTCCGGGTGACACAAATGGCTGAAGTGCTCAACTGCCAACCTTTTAGTGCAAGTTCACCCTGAGGCGCCGGGTAGAAAGATCTGGTGATCTACTTGAGACTTCACAGCCACTGAAAACCCTAAGGAGCACAGTTCTACTCCGAAACACGTGGCATCTCCGTGAGCCAGAATCCACTTGAGCACGGGTGTCGATCACAAGTAACATTCCCTGTGGCCACCCTTTAAGATAGCAGATAGATTTGATACTGTAAGGATAACACCTAACATAAAAATGACTTGTTTTTTTAATCTGTTGCCCCAGCTCAATTATTTAGATGTATTCTTCTTCTATCCCTGAAGGTAGACAGCTGACAAATGCTTCTCTCATCAATATTTTACAGGGGACAACATTCAAAATGGAAAGGAAAAAAAGTGCTAAAAAAACTTAACCCTAATTTGAATAGCCACAGAGCAATTCAGGGGGGAAATTACTTATAGAAAAGACACTGTTTATTTACTTTATGTTTACCTAACCTGATTTAACCAAGCAGGTTATTTGCTTTTAAAAATGGCTAATCTGCTTCATTAGTTTTCTCTGAACACATAGATATTGCTCAAAGAGAACAAAGTCCAAGAAAATTTGATTTAACGTCTGTGCCAAAACCAACAAACCAAGATCACCCAGGAATTGCGTAAGAAAGTTAAATGGCTAGAGCTCTGAGCTCAGTTGTAAACATTTACTTCTGTGATGCGTGACCCTGCTTTTCTTTTGACCTCAGGAAAGTTCTGTTTCCCTCCAGGTCTATTTGCTCTGTAAACATGGAAAGGCTTGTGCTTGTTACCTTCTAAAAAATTCTTGGAATATATGATTTGGGGTTTGTTATTCAGTTTCTAAATTTAAAGTAGCTAGACTGAAAGTGTTATATTCATCTAAAAGATGACTTTGTACTTGGATCTTGTAATAAAAGGGCTGCTGAATTCCATTTAAAGCAAATATGTATTTTAGTAAGGTTCTGTGGCAAATGTTAGCAGAGTCAAAATCAAATACTTAGTTCTTTGAACTCTTGCTGCTTGTTATTTAGGACTTGTTCTTGCTGTCTTATAACACAAGGGTAAGTCAAAAGTATGGCTACTAGTGCTTCAGTCCATACATATATGCACAACCTTATGCCAAATAAAAGGTGTTCAATGTCTCTGTGTGATCAGTGGATGGCTGCAGACACGTTTTCTCAATAGTACACTTGTGATAAGTGTGTTTCGGAGACTACAGAGGGGTAATCGTCACAGATTTTCTCAAAGATACAGGATGTTCACAGAGGCTTATTATGAAGGAGTTTTAAGAAAATGTAAATTGCATTGGTGAGAAAAAGGTGAAGAAAGTTGAGTTGAGGATCCCACCCCCACCCCCTCAATCATACATTGCATCTGCTCTTCTTCAGGGTAGCAAAGGCTACCCTATGGAGAACTTGGTTAGGAACCATTACTCCATCCAACCCTGATTCTGTCCCTTCAGACTTCTTATTGTTCCCCCCAAACCAAAGACCATTGTAACTGGACAGTTTTTGCCCCCCCAGAGGATGCCAAAACTACCAATTTGGTGTGGAGTGAATCGAAGAGCACGGATTCTCCAGAAATGTAGAGCTCTAAACTGAGGAAACAAAAGCTTCACATTTTGATATTTCTGATCATTAAAGGTTTCTATGACCTTGTAGCAATACATTTTGACTTATCCTCTTGTATCTAACATTTGAGAGCTGGCACTTGATATTAATTAGGCTAGATGCCCTCCATCCTGATGTCGTGAACTGTGGCATGACATTATAATCAACAGCATAAACCTGTAGTTTATCATAAGCTCAGGACAAGCAGACTGAAAGTAACCATTGAAATCACTGATGGACTATGTTATCTAAGAGCTCTACCGATTATCTCTGGCGTCCAAAGCCAAAAAGTGTTCTTTCCCAGTAAGGAAATTTAAGTTCTTCACCTTACTGTAAACTCTCAGAAGAGGAAGTAAAACTGCCATTTAGATGCCTGATCAATGTGTTATTACTGAACTTTAGCGTGACTATGCTATGAATCATTGAGTTTCAAACTAAAAATTCCCTCGTAAGTCCTCCAGTCAAATAGCCAAGGCCTCCTCTCCGAATTGGTTAAGCTTTCAATACATGGGAAATTAGCCGCCCCTTGAAATGTTACCTTCCAGACCATGCTGACAAAATGTAAAACAATCAAAGTGTAATGGACATTAATCGGTTTGGCTACCACGGGGGTTTAAGTCTCAAAGTGAGCGATACTGTCTGTCGTCTTAGGCCAAGTTGACAAAAACCACAGGCGAGGAACCGACAGTCAACAGGCCAGACAAGCAGCTACTGAAGCTCTGGCAGCGGCGATGGAGGTCGGGCCCGCGAGAAGACGCTCACGACGGCGGGGATTTCCGTCACGGTGACACACAAGGCTTCCGGCCTGTGTCAAGAGTCAGTGACGTGGCGGCTGAGGCCAGGGACGGTCCTTCGTCCCGGGAAACCCCAGCTGTCAGGAGGCCTGGGGCAGCCCGGCTCGCTCACCGCGCCGGCAGTCTCCGCGGCGAGCAGGAGCCGGAAGTGCCACGTGTCCCGACTGCGCCTGCGCGACCGGCGGCTGACAGGCACTTCCGGCCGTGGCCTCCCTCAGCGCGCCGCCGCCTCCCGGCCCGCTGTTCCCGGCGCCGCGGGCCCGACGTCCAAGCCTCCGCTCCCGGACCGGGCGCTGGCTGCCGGCGGGCTGGGGCGAGTGCGGCGCCATGCTCACGGCCTGACGCGCTGCCCTCTGTCCTCCCGGCCGTCGGTCCTTACTCGTTAGCTCCCCCGACTCTGCTTTCAGCAGTCGCCTTTCGGTTCTCCGCCGCTTGCTGTCGCCGACCCCCACCGGCCCCTTCCACCCCCGATCCTCGCCGTCGTCATGTCCCAGCCGGGGATACCGGTCTCCGGCGGCGCCGCGTCCGGCCTCCAGGCCCAAAACGGGGCCGCGCCGACCTCGGGGTCTCCCTACACCAACGGTGAGTGCCGTCCGGGCTGCGCCCGGGCTCGAGCCGATCTTGGTTGCTGCTGCCACCCGAAGTTAGAGAGTGACCTCTGGGCCGGGTGGCGGTGGGCGGCTGGGCCCCCGAGACCCAGGTCTGGTCTGTGTGTCTGGCCGCCCAGGTCTGGTCTGTGAGTGCAAACACTTCACTGTCGAGTCGATGTTGACCCCCGGCGACCTGTATTCGGTCCCTTGGGTGTACACGGGTAACGCACGTTCCCTCCCCTCGTCGTGCCTGCTTGCGCCCCGTTCCCCACTGCGCCACCGCGCCCCGGGCTGCTAGAGGGCGGGCTCTTGGCCAGAGTCACCTCCGTTCCGCAGGGCCCGCAGCGGGGGCGGACCAGGCCAGGAGGCCTAGGTCTGAGCTTGCAGAGATGAATGAATGAAGCTGCCTTGGGGACACCCCCCCAGAACACCCGAATTGTACTTAGACCCCTTGTTCCCATTTTCGGCTTGGAGGAGCCAAGCAGCGGTAGGATCGCGTGTTTGATTGCCAGAGAGAGGCCTGTTACATCCCCTGGAGAGTGGGTGGGTGAGCACAACTCTCTAAACGTCACCGGAGGGTACTGCTGGCCCCACAGTTTGTCATTTGGTGTTAGTGTCTTATAAGTAGGATTCTCTACAGTGTTCCTTATTAAGCTTTCATAGAGAAAGATATTCTATCAGCTGCTTGCCTACAAATCATTGGCTTATGGATGTAAAACAAGTAGAATAATACCAACATTCTTAAATTGCCCATTGGTATTAAGATTGCTGTAAAGTTATAGAAAATAGCCAATGACCAAACTGTGATTTTCCCGCCCCCCCCCCCATTGTTTTTAGAGAACCCTACTGTTTTCTTTACAAAGGAGACACTAAAAGACTTTTAAAAATGTGTGTGAGTAGGCAGGTATGTGGGCAGTAGCAAGAATAAGTGGGGCCTAGACATTAGAATGGTCGGAGCTTGAATCAATTGTTCTTTCTCCAATTATGGTAACAGATTATATAAACAGTATCTCATTCAAGGCTATTTAGTACCATATACACAGAAGTTGACTTTATTTTAAGACATTCGTTTAAAAGTTAAGAAGACCTAAGCAACATGCTATAGGGAGTTTTCTTATAATCTATAACTTCACATGAACTATAAAGGGCAAATCACACGAACGTGTGCAAGCTTTTATATGTAAGTGCAGTTTTGATCATCTTGAAACGTCAAAGGAATTTAGTCTGTGTTTTGCTCTATTGGAGATGTTGCCATTATGTTGATGAGAATCAGTCCAACAGATAGCTGTTGACACATCTTCAGAATTCTTGTAATTGGGGATATGAGAGAATAAGAAAACAGTCCCTGTTTACAGATTGCCCAGAGCCAATTTGGGATTCAAATCTACATCTGATTTTAAAGCAGGGGCCAAACCAAACCCGGTGCCATCTAGTTGATTAACTCAGTGCCCCTATAAGGCAGAGTAGACCTGAGTTTCTGAGACCCTACATCTTTTAGGGGAGCAGATGGCCTCATTTTTGTCCCATGGAATGACTGCTAGGTTTGAACCTTTGACCTTGCAGTTAGCCTCCCATCATTTAAACCACCGTGTCACCAGGACTTCTTTGCAGGGTGTTAGCAGCTCCAAAAATATGACCAGCTCAGGTGAGGAGGGAAATCCTTGTTGTTAGTCACTGGCAAGTTGATTCCACCCTAGGATTACTTACTCCCTGTTGGCAAGGTAAGCACCCATAGGAGTTTTAAGGCTGTGAGCTTTCCGAAGCTAATCGCCAGGCCTGTTTACCAAGGTTTTTCTGGGTAGTGAAGTTCAAACTGCCAAGTTTGGGTTAAGTGTCAAGTGGCTTCTGTAGCAGTCAGAGAAACAGTAGAATTGCAAATACGTTTCCACTTAAGATATAATTTGATAGTCTTTTTGTAAGTCCCATTCTTAGAGTTAAAAATGTTTATTTGATAGGTTTATTTATTTTTTTTTTGGATAGGTTTACTCTTAAAGTGCATAGTGCCCTATATTGGATTGCTCTTTTGTTTATACAACTAATAGAAAATGGTAATGTACAGGAGAACTAGAGGGGAGGGGATTTCTCTATGAAATAGAACAAGACGATTTGGTGTTTAAATCTAGTTTTGTTTAGCTTTTTCCAGGACTATAATTGTTGCTTAAATGTTCTATTGAAAACACCTAAGCTTTAGCTTTAATGTGGCTTGCCCAAATTACCTGTTATAGTATGTTTGGACCTTCCAATTAGGCTAGATCATAATCAAAAGACCCTTTTGTCACCTCTTTCATGAAAAAATATATTATTAATTGGGATTTAATACATATATCATTTCGTATTTCAGTCATGTCAAGTAGATTTGTCCAATTGCTACCACGATCAGTTTCCATACATTCTTTTTATACATGAACTCCATGTATCATCTCCCTTTTACCCCATCGCCACCACTGTATCCTCCTCTTCCCGAAACTCATATTCTACTTGCTGTCCCTATAGGTTCTCAATCCGCTTCAAGAGGGTGACATAACACCTCTGAGCTACACCACCATTTAAATTTTCTATAGCTTCCTCTCATATGGTGTTGTTTCCATACAACCAAGACATTTACACACACACCTTGGTAATTTGCTCTGTGATAGATTGCTGCATGACATTCTGGAGGTCGTATGTGTATGTACATGAGGGCTTTAAAAAGTTCATGGAAAAATTCAATTATCTCTTAATTCCATTTTCCCATGTACTTTTTGAAGCCTCCTTCTATATTGTCTTTGTAAAAAAGATGCGACTGAAAGACCGCTTAGCCACAAATCAGTGCTGTGAGTTAGACATTGGTTTGCTAACCACAAGGGGTGGTTCAATCATACCAGGCACATGCAGCAGAGAGAAAGATAAGGCTGGCTGCCCCCAGGATGATTTGTCGTCTTGGAAACTCTGTCGAGGGTTGCTATGAGTCAGAGTGTTTACTGGATGGCAGTGGATTCGGTTTAGTTTGAGTTTCATGTACATAAGGCTTACAGGCCACCCCATTATCAATGAATGCTTCATTGACTGAAGCAGTTTGCCAAGGCAATGAAAACTTGCAGTTTTATTTATTTCATTTTTGCTATACTTATATATAGTCATTTTTTTGTATACAGAACTATACACAAAGGTCAGAAAGATATTCTCATCTCTCCTTCCCTCTTCTCTGCCTGAATTCTCCTCCTATATTATAATTTTGTAAAATATTAGCTGTTTTCCCTTCAAACTATAAGTCCTACAAGAATATCTACAATTGTGCAGAAACTTGTCTCCCGAATTCCTCGCACGTTGTCTCATCACATTTCAGAGGTGCACCAGTTTGGTGGAACAGAAGTTTCAGGACTGTATTTTGCAATTCAGTTCACTAAACCTGAATCAAATGATTTATAGTAAGATTAGTGTTCACTTGCAGCTGTTTCCCCCTGGAGGTCGTATGTGTATGTACATGAGGGCTTTGTTTCCCCTGGTTCATTTTTCTGTGAGTTTTTGCACAGTGGTATCAGCCAAAACACATTATAATGTGTGGGTTCCCCATCAGCTTAAATAATAGGCTTATAATACCTCTGTTTTAGGGGTGACAAAATCAAGATCCCTTTTAACTATGTATGTTATGATGTATGCCATGGTTAAGGTTGTTTAATATGGGAATCCCATAGTCATGCTGTCAATAGAAATGACCCCTGTGATTGCTGACCCTGCTTTTGGCTAAATTGGCTTTGATCATTTCAGTGGAGGGGGGGGGGGTTTGCTCTGGGATTCCCATAAGATTCTTGGCATACTTCTTTGAGTTTATTGAATTGTTGGTAGTCACTTTTGGACTTCTGATTTGCCTCTGCTCATAGACTGTGAGCTCCAGAAAACCAGAAACAGTAACAAGAGATAACATTTATTATTCACTTACTGTGTGTCTGCCCAGGTGCTGTGCTAGGGTTGCATTATATGCATCATCTCCTTTAATCTCAGAACAGCCCAGTGGCGTCAAAGGTGTTATTTATACTGATGAAGAAACTGTGAGGAATGGTTAAGCAACTAGATCAAGGTCACATAGCTAAACGTTTTTGTTTTTAATTGGGGAAACCAGGTTGAAACATAAGCAAAGCAACAGAAACCAAGTGTAGCAGCTCTACAGGACAGAGTAGAGCTGCCCCAGCCGGTTCCAATGCTGTGCTGTGATCCTCACGGAAGCAGACTGCTGCATCGTTCTCCCAAAGAGAGCCCGGTGGGTTTGAACTGCGGACCTTTATAATGAGCAGCTGGACACTTGAGGTTAAGTAGAATAGCAGTTGGGTTAGACTCATAGTGACCCTGTGTACAACAGAATGACACACTGCCTGGTCCTGTGCCAAGCTCACCATTGTTTTTATGTTTGAGCCTATCGGTGTAGCCACTTTGTCAGTCCTTCTTAACTGAAAGTCTCCCCCCTTTTCGCTGCCTCAGCACCTTACCAGCATGATGTCTTTCTCTTGGGACTGGTCTCTCCGAACAACATGTCCAAAGTCCATGAGATGACGTCTTGCTGACCTTGCCTCTAAGGGGCATTCTGGTAGTCCTTTTTAGTTAACCTTTGTTAGTCTCCTTGATCTAAGTCGTAGCCTCTTGATTTAGTGTCTGAACTAAGAATCAGAACCTTCTCACTGCTTTCTTTATGGAAATAGATACATAGAAATACAGTAAAAAAACAAAATGAAACAAGAAAGAAATACAGTCAATGTTTGCTGACATTTTCCTAAACTGGAGCCTTGTTTATTTTCCTTCAATTTATAATTGGTGCCTGGCCTGATCCAAGTTTGTTATTCTTAGATTATTTGTAGTTTCAACATTATGTAACTGTCTTATAGATCCCAAAATTGCCTGTAACCACACATTGAATTTTCTAGCATTTGCTTTTTTTTGAAAGCACTTGCTTGAATGTCTGACCTATACTTTGTACTCATGCAGTGGCATGGATTGATTGTACTCATAATTTCAGTTGGT